TGTCCAAGTATATTGTATGTTCAAATGGATTTTTATAACTGAATTCATGCTTATGTTAATTTGCATCAGGCTCAACCTGAAGTTATTAACGTAGGTACAGGTCCTTAGGCAGTGCTCATCTCTCTTAAGGACTGATTTTTGAGGTGGAGATTTAGCTCCTTGCTGAGAGAGCTAAATCTCACTTTTGTTCAACAACTTGTTTAGCTGAGAATCTGATTTTTTTTACTTTGATCTGAGCAACTGTTCCTAATTCCACCAGACAAGCCTGTTACTCCATTTGATATCCACAAACCTTTACCTGAACTTCTCTCTCCTTCTTTGATCTGTTCTCATAGTTTCTGTTGAAATCTATTTTCATTACCTAGCATTAGCATCTTATGAACAACCCCCCCCCCTTGCGTGTGTGTGTTGTGGAAACTGGGCAATAAATCAAGAGAAGAAATAATAGAAGACAAATCTCCCTGTGGAAGAATGACCCTACTTACCACTTTGCTACCATTTTTATAAGTGTGTAGTAATTGGGGAATAGGTTAATTTGTTGTCACCTGACAACTGGCTAACAAATTTTGGCGCCGTTGCCGGGGAGATTTGATCTCTTCTATCTTTTCTAACTGTCATACTAGGTCTTTTTAAGTTGTTTTTGTGAACATCTGTGTCTTTTATACACTGATAAAAATTTACCAAAGTGCAAACTCTTCTCTTCTGCTGTGACTCACTGTTGAGTTGGCACTAACCCTTGTTTTAAGTGTTGTGTCAGTATCTGCCTTTTGATGCAGTTAAGAAGTGGTTTGGAGACCACAAGGGTAAGTGTTGATTTAAATTTGGAGAATCAGGTCAGTATATCTGAGATTGCTTCTTCTTTTGATTCTGAATTAGAATCTGAAACTGAGGTAATTGTTTCTCCTGTCAAATCACATAATAACATGGCAACTTTAAGGGAACTAGCTACACCTGACCTTCAGACTCAGCCCATGTCCATTACTTATGCTGTTCTGGAAAAACCATTGAAATTAAACTCTGGATTTTTGAATATGCTTCCCAAGTTTCATGGCCTGCCTGGTGAAGACCCTTATAGACATGTTAATGAGTTCCTCATAACATGTGCAGCCATGGAACCTGAAGGAGTTCCTCAAGAACAAATCAGACTTAGGGCCTTTCCCTTTTCAGTGATGGATAGAGCAAAAGATTGGCTGTACTATATGCCTCCTGGATCTTTTACAACCTGGCCATCACTGCATAGGGCATTCTTAGAGGAATTCTTTCCTGCCTCTAGAATAGGATCTATTAGGAAGGATATCTGTGGGATAAAACAAATGGGGAATGAATCATTTTCTGAATATTGGAAGAGATTCAATAAACTCTGTGCTAGTTGTCCTCAGCATCAAATCTCTGAACAGCTGCTCATCCAGTACTTCTATGAAGGGTTATCCCTAATGGATAGAAGTATGGTAGATGCTGCTAGTGGTGGTGCTCTAGTTACTAAGACCCCAGAGG